ACATCCATATATATATATATACAGCCTCCCGGTACTCAGTAGATGCGTCATGAGGTGCCGAACGGACATTCTCATCGCTCTAACCGCTGGAGTTTCACAGCGGCTGTCAGCTGTTTACTCCTGTCATTCAAACAGAACGTGCTGGAGAGGGGGCGGGGCTTATCTTCTCCATGTAAATACTGTGGTGGAAACGACTATGTCAAAATTAACCTATTTGACCGTGATTTAATAGTAATACACGTTTCAAAATAATAATAATAATAATAATAATGCCGAAGTAACAACATACTGAAAACTGTTAGTAAAACCATGTTTTAATGCTTTACAATTTACATACCTAGATGCACGTGTGTTGTGTTTATGCAGTGCAACTCCCACCCAGTGGGTGGCTATGTAGAGTGATAGAACAGAGCAGGCACGCCCCCGAGAGAAGGAAAGCACGTCACAAATTAGCATTTCTAAAATGTTAGCGTGGATTAATAAAAGTGCAAAAAGACAGCGGTTGTCGCCGGAAGGAACTTCAAATACAGAGAATACTGTGCCTGTGTTGGAAATTGTGTCTGATGGGGAGCTTTCTTTGGTTGATCCTCCTGCTCCAAGTTCTAGTGCATTAGCATTAGCACTAGCTCCGCCGCCTCCTCCAGAGCCTCTAACGTTAGCTGCTGCTGGCGCAACTGCCACCACCAACACCGGGCAAAGCGATGCACCTGACTGCTGGACAACGGACCAGGTGCAATATTTTTGCAAGACCAATGCATGGCTCCTTCTTAAAGATAAGAAGCTAGGATGTCGGATATGCAGAGATGTCAAATCTTTGGGAATACACACTGGACAAGGACTGAAACTGTCAACTGAATGGGGTGAGTGTGCAGTGTCTCATTTCGGTGTTGACAAGGGCAAACAACAAGCTAGCCTGAGAAAAAAAATCAAAGAACATAAAGAATCACAAGCCCATGTAAAAGCTGCTGACATCCTTACATCTGCTTCACGTGAAACTATTCAACATCAAGTGCAGTCTATGCATAAATCTGAATTAGACACCACTATCAGAGTTTTTCGAACGGCATATAAAATTGGCAAACATAGCCGGCCATTCACAGACATGCCAATTAATTTGAATGTACAGAAACTGAATGGGCTGAACGTGGGCAGGGTTTTGCACTCCAATAAAACCTGTGGCGAAATCATCGACCACATAGCTCATGAGCTGAAGAAAAAAATGGCAAAAGACATTACAGAAAAGCAAAGAAAACTCTGTGTTTTGGTCGATGAATCTACCACTATTAGTGGTAAAACGGTGCTTGTTGTGTGTCTACGCTCAGCATTAGCTGATGCTGAGCCCGAAACGTTTTTTTGGGAGCTGATCGAGTTGGATGGAACAACGGCTGATGACATCACAAAGGCGTTAATGGAGTGTCTTGGAAGAGATTTTAACGAGGACTTTTTAGGTCAGTGTTTCGTTTCTTTTGCATGTGATGGGGCTTCAGTCATGCTAGGGAAGAGAACAGGCGTTGCTACCCAGTTGTGTAGTAAATTCCCAAGCCTGTTTGTGTGGCACTGCTCCAATCATCGTCTAGAGCTGGCAGTTGGGGATGTGGTCAAGGAGGTCTCAGGGCTCAATCATTTCCAGATCTTTTTTGACAAACTCTATTCCTTGTTCCATGCCTCCCCCAAAAATCAGAGGCAGTTAGCGCAGTGTGCGCAAGCAGTCGGACAGCGTCTCCTGGTGATAGGGCGTGTTTTGTCCATCCGCTGGGTGGCTTCAAGTGAAAGGAGCGTCAGAGCAGTCTGGGAAAACTACCGAGTGCTTCATGATCACTTCACAAATGCTGCAAACGACACGAGCAGGGATTCCAGAGACAGAGCAAAGTACAAGGGCCTGGATGATGTGCTCACATCTGCAACGTTTGTCAGCAATCTGGGACTGATGTACGATGCGCTCACAGAGCTCAGCGACCTCTCTCGGCAACTCCAAAAAAGAGAGATGACACTGCCTACAGCAGATAGGCTCTTAACTCGAGAAATACGAGTTTTTGAATCCATGGTCACCATGCCTGGCCCACACATGACTACAGTTCATACAGCTCTAGCTGAGAAGTCCTTCAAGGGTGTTGCCCTGCGTGAGAATGGCAGGCTTGTACAGATTCATGCAGGTCAGTTTTTCCGCAGTATGGTAGAGAATCTGAGACACAGAATGACTTCCACAACCTCCTCTCATGTCAGCACAAGAGAAATCCCATTACATGACCGGGAGGCCCGGGACAATCAGCTAATCCAGGACATGAAAGTTATCCATCCTGGAAGTTGGCCTGAAGAGGAGTTAGACGTACAGTATGGGGACGTAGAGGTGCTACGTTTGTGCGAAGTGCTGAAAGTGGACAGAAGAGAGACTGTTCAGGGCTTTCGCGAATACAAGGAAACCAGGGCATCCCGTACACCTGCTGCCATGGAGCCTCTACTGAAAACAGTCCGAACCATCGCTGTCTCCACTAGTGAGTGTGAGCGGGCATTCAGCTGCATGAACGATATCCTTACTGCAAAAAGGAATGCTCTCTCTGTCAGCCGACTGTCCAGCCTGGTTTTCATTAAATGTAATGGACCATCACTAGGACAGTTCAATCCGGAACAGTATGTGAGGTCCTGGCTGGCAAAGGGAAGGAGAAGTGCTGATGAAAGAGCCTGTCCAGCTCCAGCCCCTGATACTGATGTCCCCAAGGCCTTCTGGAGCCTTTTCTAACAATGTGAAGTATATTGCAAAGCAGCTCACCCAGTGAGAAGACTTTTGGCATAATGTGCCGATTTGTACAGATCCTGGAGATAGAAGGACTTCAGACCAACCAGGGAGTTATCTGATCAGCTTGGTGTTCAATGTAACTCTTTACCATGGCTCAGACTTTGTTACTTGCAGTTACAGTTTCTCATTTTAGATTGTGCAAATTTTGCATTTGTTTTTACATGTTCTTTGTTCATGCTCTTTATCATATTTCTGAGTTGGAAAGTTAGATTGCATCATAGTTTACTTTATACATATTTGTATTCTTCAGTGGTGAAGTATATTGCAAAGCAGCTCAGCCATGTGAGAAGACTTTTGGCACTTTTTCGTTTTTCGTTTTCTGAGTTGGAAAGTTAGATTGCATTCAAAATGTACAGAAATACTTAATTTTGTTAAAGCTTTTTATAAAAAATGCTTCTGACCAGAGCTTTGTTTCCTTGTCATTAATGTTGAACACCACCAGAGGGGCTCTCACCTGAAAGGTCTCTGCTTCATGTGTCTTCAGCAGAAGATCTAGACTTTGATTGCTATATTTTCAGTTAATATTGACCTTACTGAGCTTTAGCCATATCCGCTGCCTATCATAAAAAATGTTAAGTACAGTGAACCTTTCTAAAATATACAGTAGTAAAGAGACAAACCCACCAGCATTATAGTAGCCAAAGTCTTGTTTGTGGGCTGTATATATAAAATTGACTTGAAAAAGTTGCTGATTTTAGAGTACTGGCACCTTTTTCATTCCAATTCAAGCACTGCTTATAAGTGGACGACCGAATGTTGGTGTCCATAAAGGCTTGCCATAGTTTCCTGGTTCTGGCTGTCCATGGAGCACATGAGTAAATTGTTCCTCTTTGCATGCATATTGCCCTGATGAAATCCAAGGGCCCTTATTTCTGTCAGTAGTGAGCGATTGTCTGATGAACAGTCTATCAACAGTCAACAGCTTGTTTGATCCCTTGGAGCTTCAGATTCCCAGGTAGTACTTTCCAGTTTCTCTCATCAACACGGCGTAAGGAACTATGTGAATTTGGGCAACTCATTGTTCACAGGATTTCCTTGCCATTTAATACTGAAATGGATGGCGTTGAATCATGCTCGTTATCCGCCAGATCACCATCAAGAACCAAATGAATACACTACAAAACAAATGCCCCGTGTGAGGCTCGAACTCACGACCTTCAGATTATGAGACTGACGCGCTGCCTACTGCGCCAACGAGGCCCAAAGTCAACATTCTGTTGGGTGACAATGGCAGAGTCCACAATAAAGGGGTCAAGTCTGTGGAGACCAGGAGGAACAGGACGTAGACGCAAAGCAGGTCATCTAAAGCAACTTATAAGTGGACATCAGACTCTCCCCATTCTCTTCTGATGACAAAATGTTAAATGAAATGTTGGCGTCCTTAAAGGCTTGTTATAGTTTCCTGGTTCTGGCTGTCTATGGAGCACATGAGTTGATTTGTCCTCGTTCCATCTATATTGCCCTGATGAAATCCAATGGCCCTTATTTCTGTCAGGCTTGCCATAGTTTCCTGGTTCTGGTTGTCCATGGAGCACATGAGTAGATTTTTCCTCTTTCCATCCATATTGTCCTGATGAAATCCAAGGGCCCTTATATCTGTCAGTATTGAGCGATTGTCTGATGAACAGTTTGTCAACAGTGAACAGCTTGTTTGATCTCTTGGAGCTTCAGATTCCCAGGTAGTACTTTCCAGTTTCTCTCATCAACACGGCGTAAGGAACTATGTGAATTCGGGCTACTCATTAGAACTTAAAGGAAGTGCATTGGCCGGGAATCGAACGCGGGCCTCCCGCGTGGCAGGCGAGAATTCTACCACTGAACCACCAATGCTTACTTTAAGGTCTTCTTACCACTCCGAAAATAAAATCAGGCGGGAGTTCGATTCCCGGGCAAGGCAAGAGCAATTTTTGGAAAGCGCCTTTATTCCTGCCAATGTTCAATACCTGCCACACTTGAGGAAGGCTGTTGTTTATGTGCTAAAATATTTTGCATTCAAGATCGGAAGAGAAAATTCACAGGATTGCCTTGCCATTTAATACTGAAATGGATGGCGTTGAATCATGCACGTTACCCGCCAGATCAGAAATGAATACACTACAAAATATATGCCCCGTGTGAGGCTCGAACTCACGGCCTTCAGATTATGAGACTGACGCGCTGCCTACTGCGCCAACGAGGCCCAAAAGCAACATTCCGTTGGGTGACAATGGCGGAGTCCAGCATAAAGGGGCCAAGCCAAGACCTGTTCAAGAGGTCTCAAGGTTGATACGTCAAACGCAGATGAGCTCACGGAGGGAAGAAAAGTAATCGTCCGTAGCATAGAGCAAGAAGGGGAATCAAAGAGTCTGGCTGAAAGAGCAATTTGTTTTCATTTACAAGATTTGCATTGGCAAGGACTGGAATTAGGTGGGCGGAGTCAGGAGAGTCGAACATCTCCTCGTTAGTATAGTGGTCAGTATCCCCGCCTGTCACGCGGGAGACCGGGGTTCAATTCCCCGACGGGGAGAGTACGCACTTTTTTGTTGATGTGGTTAACAGCCATGCAGTACAGACATTCAGAAAAAGAATGCCCCTGAACCACCTATAATGGAGAATATATTTTTGGACAACTGTAAAGACTGTCTGTCGAGACCAGGAGGAACAGGGCGCAAACGCAAAGCAGGACATCTAAAGGAACTTATAAGTGGACGACCGAATGTTGGTGTCCATAAAGGCTTGCCATAGTTTCCTGGTTCTGGCTGTCCATGGAGCACATGAGTAAATTGTTCCTCTTTGCATGCATATTGCCCTGATGAAATCCAAGGGCCCTTATTTCTGTCAGTAGTGAGCGATTGTCTGATGAACAGTTTGTCAACAGTGAACAGCTTGTTTGATCTCTTGGAGCTTCAGATTCCCAGGTAGTACTTTCCAGTTTCTCTCATCAACACGGCGTAAGGAACTATGTGAATTCGGGCTACTCATTAGAACTTAAAGGAAGTGCATTGGCCGGGAATCGAACCCGGGCCTCCCGCGCGGCCACCGGGGATTGTTTCATGATTGTTCCATGATAATGCCATAAACGATTTCCCATTCATTCTCTATGGCACTGTTGAATCGTTGCCGATGTAATATATATTTGGCCGCGAGTGGCGCACTTTTGCCAGTGAGACCTGTCTGCTCCTCCCCGCCCCTCCCCCTTCAGTGAGTGAGTGATTGAGAGACTGGACAGCGACTTTTTCAACTCCTGACATTACGACCAAACTATAAGGTAAGTTATAGTAACATGAATTAACAGAGAAGCGACATGTAATGTTATGTTATCTGGGCTTTGTCTGACGTGTTTTAGTTTCAATGAACGCTATAAAGTGGTCCGTGTTTCCTACGTGTATCTTGTCTAACGGCTGCATGCACACACGGCACTTTGGGATGAATTACATGTTAATGTAAAGTTAATTCAACTTAAGCCGCTTAAAGTTCATGTGGTAGGATTTCTGTTTGACTTTATTGTGTTTTTGTTGGTGAGGCGAAATTACCGCGAGTTACTTGTGGCGAAATCCTCCGTGGGTGTGCGTTTACATTAATGTATATTTAAATATATAAATGAACGCTAACTACCATGTAAGTTTACCATTAACTCCCTTATTATTTTCCAATAAACCGGGGTTAGATATACTAACCCATCACTGTTACAAAACACAGCGTGGGGACAAGTTAACAGCAGTTTACTTTTCATTCATCGGCTCTACAATATTCAGCTGTGCTGTTGCCCAGACGCCATTGGCTGTATCATTCCAATAGCTTGCATATAGACTCTTATTTCACTACTTTTCTATTTTTAATATTTACTTGCACTATATTTGTCTGTTTTTCTGTATTATTGGATGGCACTGTTGGAGAAGCCTGTGACCTAAGATTTTCATCGACATAACTACTCAGGGACAGACTGGACAGCATACATCTTTTTCTTTTTAGATAGGACACTTCACACTAAAGTGTTACCTGGGTCACATGACTGGGGGGAGGCAGCTGAGATCCTGGAACAAAGGCAGTTGAGGTGTGAATTCAGCCTTGGCTGAGTTCTCTTTGATAGTTGAAAGGGTTTGACCCATGGGGGGTAATTTAAGTGTAAATAGTTTGTTTCAACAAACACACAGCTCCATACATACAGGAACAAAGATCAACCATATCTGATCCAAAGTAAAATAGCACTACATATATCATAGCACAATGTGAATGTGCAGACAGTTAAAGCTAGGGCTGAGATGTTAACACCATAATGTCTGCTCTCTATTAGACCCCACCCACCTGTGAGCATCATTAACTCACTAATATATATATGCGTACTTGCTAAAAATCTTTTTTCAAAAAATCACACACACACAATCGTAATTATTTGCCATGTGTTTTTATTTATTGTCTGCCTAGGTCAGCCATTACCCAGGCCATCAACGGTCCCCAGCTGTCCTTCTCCTCCTCCTCTTCCTCTTCCTCTTCCTCCTCCTGCCTACAACCAGGATGTCAGTCATTGGAACTGTTCGCCGCAGCAGAGGATCTGGATGAAGATGGAGCTGCAATCCATGGGGCTCTGGCCAGGCTCCGTTCCTGTACGCAGCCTTTTCTGTGGTGGATCAGGAAGACCTGCAGAGGCTTAAAGATGCCTATGCCTTCTGTGGAATCCAGCCTGCCAACCCAACAAAGCCTCACACACGTGAGCACTGCAGGATCAGGATCCCACATCCCGAGGAGCTCGTCAAGAGAGTAGAGGGGGTTTTCCAGCACTTCCACCTTGCAACAGACCCTAATGGGCGCCCTCTCTTCAAAGCCTCTATGCTGAAATGCTGGCGTATTCAGCGGATACACATCCTGCGAGGTTGCCTGAGCGATCCAGAGGTGGAAGGAGGGATCATGTACAGGCATGGAGGAACACTGCAGCTGAACCATGTGCCAGGTGAAGGAGCCAAAGTTCCTGTATGGATCCCCATCAGAGGCACATCCCAGCAGGAAGGCTATCACTTCCACCAGGCTCAGTGGGTCACTGGCACACGCGTTTCCACAGAGCTGTTTCAAGCTCAGGCGATGACAGGAGTGGCGCGGTGGAATTACCAGCGACTGGTGGACCTAAAACAGCCAGATGTCAAACTTCCAGCTGTCTTTGATCCTGCATTGATGGGCGAGATCAATGCAGTCTCTCAACAGGTGTTTGGCCATGTTAAATATCCTGCTTTTCATCTCCCTAACAGAGACACTGGAGAGAAGTTTGGCCTGGAATATGTGGAGCCTGATTGCCGCCCAGTTCCTCTAGACTGGGATAAGCACAGGAGTAAGGCAGACTCTACCCAGGCCCTGGATACACCTCCTCAAAGCAGCAACCCCACTGCCCAGTCTGAGCTTCTTCAGCCACCCTCCATCCCCCCAACCAAGCTGTTTCAGTTTCCTGCAAACCTTCCTTCAGTGAAACAAGAGGTGACTGCAGGAACGACTCTGGAGCCTCACACAGAGCCAGGTAAACTTTAGACGCACAGACAAAGTAGTGAATAATCCTTCAGCATCAGTGACTGGATTCCAATCATTTATTTCTATAAAGAACCTTTGTTTTCGTAGACATTAATGAATATATCTCTTTTGTTGTTATAGAAACCACATGTCTGAAGTCTCTGCCTCTGCTGTCCTCGCCAACTGCGGCTCGCACTGGACCTGTGAAGACTGGTGGGAGGGTGTTTGTGTTGGACCACAAGCGCTGGACAGGCCCTATGAGGCAGGCTGTTGACAACCTGCTCAACAAACACCATAGTCAGAAGGACATGCTGAAGCTTGTGGACAAGGACTATGCTGCTCTTGTGCTTGACTCCTGCACAGACCCAAACAGTATGCTTCACCCAACTACAAAACACCACATTTGTCAGTATGTGAAGCATCTCAGCAAGCTTCTGAACACCAGCTCCTCCATAAACATCAGCCCGGAGAAACTGCAAGAGAGGCAGGTCCTCTGGCACTCTCTCACAGAGGGTAGTGAGACCACCAGGGTGCCAGTTGTTACAATGCCTGTTGCCATTTTCAACCCCACACTTCCCGTTCAGACCCCAGCCACACCTCTGACACTAGAACATGTTGAGAGTTTGGTCAGCAACATTATGGCCAACCAGCAACAACAACAACAACAACAACAACAACAACAACAACAACAACAACAACACAAACAAAAGAAGAAACAGACAAAAAGGTGTCTTTCCTGCGGCCAGCCAAAGGCCCGCTTTGAAAATGATGGCTCTTCCATCCACCACTTCTACATGCAGGGCACTGTCAGATACTTTTACTGCTCCACCAACGTTTTTAAAACGTATGGTGCTGAAGGTCTGACAGACCCTAAAATGCCATTTGGAGACTTTGCCGAGACAGCTTTCTTTCCGCGGGAACTGGAAGCTATGAAGCAAAGGGTGGAGGCAAGAGTCCAGCTTAAAAGAAAGAACACTGAGCCAGAGCACAAAGGTCGAAAATGCGGATTTTGTAGAGAGGAACTCAAGCAGGGCCCAAACAGTCCTCACATTCACACAGGATTCCCAGGAGTAGCAGGGAAGTATGTGTACTGTCCTGCTAAAGTGTTGTCACTATACAGGGATCAGGGCATGGAGAAGCAGATGACCTGGAAGAAGTTCAAGGAGTCTGTTTTCTATGAGGCTGAAAAGAATAGATGGGAGGCTGAAAAGGGAAAATGACAAGGTTTTTTTTCATGAATAGGGTTATCACTTCTGTTATTTTCCTACTGTGTGTCTGTTAATGCCAAATTGTCATCCTGTGTGTTTTAAAACATTTACATTATTTCATTCTCTATTTACTACTGCTTTATTTACTTTTTTATATTTACTTTATTATATTTACTTTATTTTACTTTATTTACTTCTACCTTATTGTTACTTATATATTATATGTTTTGTACATAATCTGCTTTGTTTCTGTTGTTTACAATAAAGATGTTTTCTTGATTAATATCTACATGTCTCATTCATAAGTAAATTATTTATACTACATGGTCCATATCTTAAATATAAATAATGCCTTCGGAGTTTTTCTTTTGAATGTAATAAATAAATATAAACACAATAACAGTTACTATAACAAATTAGGATTCACATTTCTTGATTCATAGATAGCTCTTTATCTTTGATTATGTATCACAGACTTTGCCCCAACCGGGGGTCGAACCTGCGAACAGAAGAAATATCAGCTGGCAAAGACAGTGGTTCAGCACCATGGACAGTAATGCTGCGATTGTATTGGCTGTCACTCTATGCCACAGTAATGCTGCGATTGTATTGGCTGTCACTCTATGCCACAGTAATGCTGCGATTGTATTGGCTGTCACTCTATGCCACCTAAGCACGTCTTGCCCCCGCGTGACAGGCGGGGATACTGACCACTATACTAACGAGGAGATGTTCGACTCTCCTGACTACGCCCACCTAATTCCAGTCCTTGCCAATGCAAATCTTGTAAATGAAAACAAATTGCTCTTTCAGCCAGACTCTTTGATTCCCCTTCTTGCTCTATGCTACGGACGATTACTTTTCTTCCCTCCGTGAGCTCATCTGCGTTTGACGTATCAACCTTGAGACCTCTTGAACAGGTCTTGGCTTGGCCCCTTTATGCTGGACTCCGCCATTGTCACCCAACGGAATGTTGCTTTTGGGCCTCGTTGGCGCAGTAGGCAGCGCGTCAGTCTCATAATCTGAAGGCCGTGAGTTCGAGCCTCACACGGGGCATATATATTGTAGTGTATTCATTTCTGATCTGGCGGGTAACGTGCATGATTCAACGCCATCCATTTCAGTATTAAATGGCAAGGCAATCCTGTGAATCAGAGGTGCCCAGTACGTCGACCACGGGCGACCGGTCGACCGCGGGGGCAATGCTGGTAGATCGCGAGTCATTCATAAAAAAAAATCCAGTTCCGTTAAAATAGACAAAACAGGTTTTGATCCCTCCTCCCTTGGCCTCCCTGCCACTTAATTCAGGAGTTTACTTGATTGACAGAAAAAGCGACCTATCGCTTTCCAGTCTGTTAACCCAGAATGCAAAGCGATACAAAATCAGTCAAGTGCCGGGAAAACTCAAATTAAGTTAAAGAGACAAGAGACAAACAACAAAATGAGTGCGGGACCGAGCAAGAAGCTAAAGACAAACCACTTCCACCCAGAATGGGAGGAAGAATATTTTTTTGTGATGTCACATTCAAAGGTTATTTGCCTTATTTGTAAAGCAAGCGTCGCTCTGCCAAAGAAAGGTAACGTGGAGAGGCATTATCGGAGTGTTCACAAGGCATATGACAGCGACTTCCCTCCGAGTAGCGAGTTGAGAAAGGTCATGTATTATTGCTACACAAATATTATCTCGCAGTCTTAGTGTCGCCAACTCGTTTCTAACATGCAAAAAGACAAACAAATGCGTCTAAGGTCGGTGTATTTTCGACCTTTCCAATCCAGACGAGATCTCTCTCCCGTCTGTGCGCGAGGGGGCGGGGCAGTTTACACACGCGGCTGCTACATGCAGCAACACACGGAGGAGAGAAGCGCTCCAAGGTGTGGTTAAATGTTACCCGTCTTGAGGTGGACAATGCTCCTTGCCAAGAGTGTTTAGCATGTAAGGGCGGTAACACGAGCAATTTATCTAAACATTTATCAAAAGTGCTCCACATCCAGACGGAGGAATGCACCGGGTTCCACTGTCTTTCTAGCAGCTCTGTAGCTCCATCCACGAGTAACGTTTCCACGTCAGGTGTTATGTATGCTAGCAGCAACACACGCAGTTAACTCAATGATTCAAACATGGGTTAATGATGAGAGGTAACTGAGTTATTCTTTATTTTGTTAAAGTTTCAGCTATTCTGTTCACAGTTCTGTCATCAGATTATTTAATACGATTTGTTAAAACATTGTTGTTTCTTTTGATGTGAAATATTATTTATTTAATTTAAATAAAAAGCAATGTTAATTTTGTAAACAATTTGTTAATTTAATAATATATGTATTTTTGAATCAAGTATTAATCTTTATTGTCTTCATTGTTAGTTTCCACATGCCTAAAACAACCTCAAGCTAAATCTAAAAGTTGATGGCTAAATAAGAGCGTTTGAGAAATTGTGCAAGGCATACAGTAATAGTCTGAATAGTCGATTAGTCGTTTCATTAATCGATAGATTCATCGATTATCAAATTAGTCGTTTGTTGCAGCTCTATTATCCCATGTATAAATAAAACGTGTTATTCAGCAACCCTTGCAATTTGGGATTTTATTTTTGGTTGGTAGACCTCGGTGAGTTGGTCATTTCAAAAGTAGCTCACCAGCCCAAAAAGTGTGGGCACCCCTGCTGTGAATTTTCTCTTCCGATCTTGAATGCAAAATATTTTAGCACATAAACAACAGCCTTCCTCAAGTGTGGCAGGTATTGAACATTGGCAGGAATAAAGGCCCTTTCCAAAAATGGCTCTTGCCTTGCCCGGGAATCGAACTCCCGCCTGATTTTATTTTCGGAGTGGTAAGAAGACCTTAAAGTAAGCATTGGTGGTTCAGTGGTAGAATTCTCGCCTGCCACGCGGGAGGCCCGGGTTCGATTCCCGGCCAATGCACTTCCTTTAAGTTCTAATGAGTAGCCCGAATTCACATAGTTCCTTACGCCGTGTTGATGAGAGAAACTGGAAAGTACTACCTGGGAATCTGAAGCTCCAAGAGATCAAACAAGCTGTTCACTGTTGACAAACTGTTCATCAGACAATCGCTCACTACTGACAGATATAAGGGCCCTTGGATTTCATCAGGGCAATATGCATGCAAAGAGGAACAATTTACTCATGTGCTCCATGGACAGCCAGAACCAGGAAACTATGGCAAGCCTTTATGGACACCAACATTCGGTCGTCCACTTATAAGTTCCTTTAGATGTCCTGCTTTGCGTTTGCGCCCTGTTCCTCCTGGTCTCGACAGACAGTCTTTACAGTTGTCCAAAAATATATTCTCCATTATAGGTGGTTCAGGGGCATTCTTTTTCTGAATGTCTGTACTGCATGGCTGTTAACCACATCAACAAAAAAGTGCGTACTCTCCCCGTCGGGGAATTGAACCCCGGTCTCCCGCGTGACAGGCGGGGATACTGACCACTATACTAACGAGGAGATGTTCGACTCTCCTGACTCCGCCCACCTAATTCCAGTCCTTGCCAATGCAAATCTTGTAAATGAAAACAAATTGCTCTTTCAGCCAGACTCTTTGATTCCCCTTCTTGCTCTATGCTACGGACGATTACTTTTCTTCCCTCCGTGAGCTCATCTGCGTTTGACGTATCAACCTTGAGACCTCTTGAACAGGTCTTGGCTTGGCCCCTTTATGCTGGACTCCGCCATTGTCACCCAACGGAATGTTGCTTTTGGGCCTCGTTGGCGCAGTAGGCAGCGCGTCAGTCTCATAATCTGAAGGCCGTGAGTTCGAGCCTCACACGGGGCATATATTTGTAGTGTATTCATTTCTGATCTGGCGGGTAACGTGCATGATTCAACGCCATCCATTTCAGTATTAAATGGCAAGGCAATCCTGTGAATCAGAGGTGCCCAGTACGTCGACCACGGGCAACCGGTCGACCGCGGGGGCAATGCTGGTAGATCGCGAGTCATTCATAAAAAAAAATCCAGTTCCGTTAAAATAGACAAAACAGGTTTTGATCCCTCCTCCCTTGGCCTCCCTGCCACTTAATTCAGGAGTTTACTTGATTGACAGAAAAAGCGACCTATCGCTTTCCAGTCTGTTAACCCAGAATGCAAAGCGATACAAAATCAGTCAAGTGCCGGGAAAACTCAAATTAAGTTAAAGAGACAAGAGACAAACAACAAAATGAGTGCGGGACCGAGCAAGAAGCTAAAGACAAACCACTTCCACCCAGAATGGGAGGAAGAATATTTTTTTGTGATGTCACATTCAAAGGTTATTTGCCTTATTTGTAAAGCAAGCGTCGCTCTGCCAAAGAAAGGTAACGTGGAGAGGCATTATCGGAGTGTTCACAAGGCATATGACAGCGACTTCCCTCCGAGTAGCGAGTTGAGAAAGGTCATGTATTATTGCTACACAAATATTATCTCGCAGTCTTAGTGTCGCCAACTCGTTTCTAACATGCAAAAAGACAAACAAATGCGTCTAAGGTCGGTGTATTTTCGACCTTTCCAATCCAGACGAGATCTCTCTCCCGTCTGTGCGCGAGGGGGCGGGGCAGTTTACACACGCGGCTGCTACATGCAGCAACACACGGAGGAGAGAAGCGCTCCAAGGTGTGGTTAAATGTTACCCGTCTTGAGGTGGACAATGCTCCTTGCCAAGAGTGTTTAGCATGTAAGGGCGGTAACACGAGCAATTTATCTAAACATTTATCAAAAGTGCTCCACATCCAGACGGAGGAATGCACCGGGTTCCACTGTCTTTCTAGCAGCTCTGTAGCTCCATCCACGAGTAACGTTTCCACGTCAGGTGTTATGTATGCTAGCAGCAACACACGCAGTTAACTCAATGATTCAAACATGGGTTAATGATGAGAGGTAACTGAGTTATTCTTTATTTTGTTAAAGTTTCAGCTATTCTGTTCACAGTTCTGTCATCAGATTATTTAATACGATTTGTTAAAACATTGTTGTTTCTTTTGATGTGAAATATTATTTATTTAATTTAAATAAAAAGCAATGTTAATTTTGTAAACAATTTGTTAATTTAATAATATATGTATTTTTGAATCAAGTATTAATCTTTATTGTCTTCATTGTTAGTTTCCACATGCCTAAAACAACCTCAAGCTAAATCTAAAAGTTGATGGCTAAATAAGAGCGTTTGAGAAATTGTGCAAGGCATACAGTAATAGTCTGAATAGTCGATTAGTCGTTTCATTAATCGATAGATTCATCGATTATCAAATTAGTCGTTTGTTGCAGCTCTATTATCCCATGT